GATTAACCTAATAATCTACTATCAGATTAAGTGATTGAATCCGTAATTGTTCAATTCATTAACACCAGTGACGACTAGCGTGATTGGTTTCATGTTAGGGAAACGTATGATCTAAATTAAACAAACTCTTGTAGCGTGTTTGTTGGTTAGGGTTGGACTTTTCTAATTCTTAATGCAATCGAGGAATTAAATTTTATGGTCGTACTTAGGGTTATTTCTTGGTTAGAGAAATAGTTAACGGTCGTACCTTGACTATCGAAAAAGTAAGGAAATGTTGGTTGTTTATCGCGTGTATGACAACTATAACCAATCTAGTAATGAGTAATTGAATTATCTTTGCATCAATGATCAGTTGAATGGACTGTGTCTGAAAAGTTGCACCTTTGGCTAGAGTCGTATTGGTTATTGATTAATTTCTGTTTATTTCTAGTAGTTGTTTCATTAGTTGGTTAATTAGTTATTTTATATTTTCCAAAAACCCCCTCATGCTCTGAACTCTAGAAGAAACGAATTATCCCTAGTGCCTGTGGATTCGACCCTGCTTGCCACTGTCTACTAGTTAGTAAATTTTGTCAGTTAATTAATTCTGATATATCGAATTAAGCAAACTCTTCGGAACCAGGGTGAATCAAGTAACTCATTGCACATCCAGAGTCCCTGCTCCAGTACCTGGAATTGATTGTTGATTGTTTTTTGTGGTAGTTAGATTTTTATTATTACACGTTTTTTGTGGTAGTTAGGTTTTTATTATTGCACAGTCTTGACATTTGTCACCTTTAATCAACCATTCGGCCTAAGTTACCCTGAATTAGTAATAACTCGTAGATTCTCTACAGTCAACAATTAGAATGATACACTGTAGTTGTATTCTTATTATCAAACTATTTAGGTATTAACGCAATTCCAAATTAATCCGATAGTAGCTTTAGGCACTAAGAATCAGCTGAAATTGATGACAACCCGTGACACACGCAATCATCTAATCAACACCACAATTCCCTCTAAGGGTTCATAAAAGAGGACAATCAATTACTAGTCTTATTTTCTACATGAAATACTAAAACATAACAATTACATATCACAATTAGTACTTTGGCATGAATATGACACATATAGAGAATAATTCGCGACTTACTCCACTATACATGCATAAACACAAATCAAGATCAAGGAATTGCAGATAGTTAATTAAAAGTTGGAAAGATCAAATCGATTTCACAATACTAGGAGCCATCACTTCTTTCCTTGGCTTGAATAAAAGAACTAGCAAGACATCATCATTGCAAGAGTAAGAGAGATGCTCATAAGTGAATAAAGAAAACTAATTCATAAAATATACTACGCTAATTCTAGCAAACGAAAAATTATAGAGAAAAATTTGTTGCTTCTCCTTTTGACAGCCCTTTCTAACGGCTCTTACTCGTGTACTTATAAGGTCCCTCCAGTAGGGTTTTTAGGGTAGAATCAAGTAGTCAACTTAAATTAGAAGTCATTTGTTTAGTACATGTCGGTTCTTGAGTTGGATTGTGAGACAGGCGCCCATCATAACTTAACTTGTCAATTTAATTGAAATCCGCTTTAAAGTCAAATGGGTGTTGTGTTTGGCCCCCATCCTATCACTCATTAGCTGCTGACTTTTTGGACTCAATATTTTCCTGCTAATTGATCTCTTTTTGCATCATTTTTACCGCAAGTGCTTTCTACCCTGTCCAACCATAAAAACATATCTAAATAGCACTTTTTAAAAATAATACATGCATAAAATCATAGTGATAGAGGAACATAAAAATATATGAAACACGACACATCAAATATCTTTTGTTGATTAGATGAAAAGGTTTGTCACATTGTAAAAGTTAGATCAATTACTAAATGCCATAACATGTGTCCTGGTACCAGATTGAGAAGATGGGAGAGCATGAGTAGTAACTAGAATTGAAGATCTTGTTGACATTTGCAAAATTTTACACTTTTTTTCTTTTAAACAAGTTTCACCTTTAAAATGTGCTCCATTAACCTTTTTTTTTTCTCAAACTTTTCCACCCTCCCCATGCTATTCCGCCCCCAACTATTGCCCTTATTACCAGGCACAGGATTTGAACATTGAACTTGATAGTGGAAAAGATTTTAAAAATTCTCATCTGATCACTAAGTACACCCCCAGTGGTTACTTGCTCCATTAACTTGCTAGATTGCAAGGATTTTTTTTTCGGTTTCTATTCTTTTGTTTATATTTTGTTTTCTTGATTTTCTGATATGTCAAGACCAACAAAAGTTCAAATTAATGTATACATAGATGCCTTCTGACCTCGAAACTGGACTACAAATGTTTTCAGCAGTCCGGGTTGTTTTAAGCAGTCCAGGTTGTTGCTTGGCCATTGCTGGGCTTTTTAAACTAGTGCTGGGTTTAAGCGGTTCTTGAATTCTAGTCCATGGCCATGTTCACTGTAAGAGAGAAAAGGAAACTATGTGATTATTTTTATTTTTCTCTTGCAATCTTGAATTCTAGTCCATGTCGCTGCAATCTTGCAATTGCCTCTCTAATATTTCGATTTCGCCAAATCAACCACGAAGGTATTAGGTTTATGTAAAACCTGCCAATTGTGGAGACTCTTTACAAAACATTCCTCTTGACTTTGTTAAATAAATTGGTTTTAACTATTTCCAGCAATCTCATTAACAAATCTTTTTTATTTATGAAAAAACAAACTATAAAGGTATTAGGAATTTTCTCCATCCAAATTAATGAATACCAATTTTCATATTATTCTCCTGATTTTGGAAGCCAATTTATTGATGACAATAACAAAAGATGGACATAAGTTTGGGGGAGGGTTGGGTTCAGTGGTAAGAGGGGAAGGATTGTAAGTAAAACATCATGGGTTCAAGATCTCTCCTTTAACAAAAAAAAGAAGAAGATGAACATAAGCTTTTACACAATAAAATACATACATTAGCTTGATATATAGTACGATAACAACATATAAATTATGAGATTATAATTGAATGATCTATTTGTCAATCTATTTTAATCAGAGTTATTTTTCACTCCTACATGGCATTTTCTATTTGAAGAGAATTAATAGGTTATGGATCGCATGGGTTTTACACATATTGAATCGTATTTGGATTACATAGAATTATAGTAAAAAAATTTTCAAATCACAATTGTTGAAATCTTACATATCTTATAAATTACTTCATTTCATCACTTGATTAGTATTCAAATTTTTTATCATCTGTTCCTTAATTTTGAATTAATTTAGTGTAAAAAAAAATTAACTACTATACTGATAGATTTTTCAATATTGTTCGAAATTGAATATTTATTGATGAAGAAAAATAGATTACTGAATCTTTTGTACTTAATTAAATATGAATTTATGGTTCTAGACTTATGGCCATTATAAAAATTTAAATTATCTAAGAGAATGTTTATAAGAAAAAAAAAGAATATCTACCAAGGTTTTGATATGATGTACATTATTTGATTTATACTATCATATTATAGAGAAAGTATATAAATAAATTTTTAAAATTTAGTAAATAATTGAACATTTAGAATACATTAATTTTAAAGTTAATATGAATGAACATATAGGATTGTTGTTAATTTTTGTATTTAAATTATTCAGATTTGTATAAATTCACAATAAATAAAAAAAGTGTGCTAAGGCATGGGCAAAATTCTAGTGTATAACTAAGTCTTGTCATATAAAAGGGAAGAAATAAAAGTTTACTAGCTCTGGCCTCTTCTAATAACTTGAATATTAAATGACATACTAAACATTTATGAAATCTTCTTACTTTATTAAACAACTAAAGATATGACCGTATTTAGTAGAAGGCATTTTATCTTTTTTTAATGGGATTGAATGGATATTATGGTTTCATCATACGCACACCTAGAGAGCATCTGATATAATTACTGTAATTAATTGTGCATTTCATCCATTTTCTACTTTACATAAAACCGCAAGGAGTTTACCTTAGGAAGATCATCTGTTATTATAGAAAATTATAGAGGGTTATATGTAATTTGCCCTAAAATTACTAAAACTTTTTGTCCTTTTGACAGGTGTCGAGCCTGTGCAATAATAAAAATAGAACCTAACTACCACTAAAGGCAGTCAATAATTGATGTTAGGTACTGGAGCAGGGACTCTAGGTGTGCAATGGGTTACTTGATTCACCATGTTCCCGAAGAGTTTGCTTAATCCGATATACTAGAATTAATTAGTTGACGACAATTACTAAATAGTAGACAGTGGCAAGCAGGGTCGTCTCCTCAGGGACTGAGGATGTTTGTTTCTTTGAAATTCTAATTGGTAAAAGGGGATTTTATCGGAGTGGAACTAAAAACAATTAAGCAATTCAACTAAAAATAAATAAATAATTAACTAGCACGAATATAACAGGAATTAAATCAAGAAAAGATAAATTTTAGTCAAGAATACAACTACTCAGGTACAGTCCACTCACCCGATCATTGATGCAAGGAAGGTTCGCTTAACTTATTAATAGGCCAGTTATAGTTGCCGACGAACTCTAACGACCAATTTTTCCTTAATTTATTGATAACCAAGGTACGACCATTGATTACTTCTAACCAGAAAATACTCCTAAGTACGACCATAGGAATTAATTTCTCAATTACATTAAGAACTAGAAAAACCTAACTCTAATCAATAACACGCTACGAGGGTTATTTAAATTAGATTGCACATTCCCTTAGTGTGCAAACACGCCAGTTGCCACTAATATTAATCAATCAAACAATTACGGATTTAATTAAATAATTTGGCAGGAGATTAATGAGTCACATTGAACATCGGGCCCTTGACATCCAATTAACAAAATAATCCCATGAAAATTCAAATAGACAACGTGCAAATATTAACAAATTAAGGAACGCGTGAAAACTAATTAGATCTCACAGATATTCGGGACTGCGCCGTTGAGTTGATCCTTGACTAGATGAAAGGCTTAGCCTCACCGCATAATTAAATCTCTACGCAAATTAATTGATTGCAAATGCATCAAGTTTTCACTAGGAAGCGAGAAATAAAAGATGTTTTTCCCGTTGAGGAATATTGTCGAACAGTAGGCATGCGCCTGACAAGGACAGAAAGAAAACTAAAAACTATGCTAAAAAGAACTAAGCTCCCAAGCCTCTGTACGCTTGTCCTTAAAAGCCAAAAGTGACTAATGCTCCACTCGTCCGTGGTCCCCCACCGAATTGAGAAAGCTAAGTACAAAAGATGGGCCCTGCCGAATTTGAGAGCAAAAGTCTAAAAGTGAGGCTCCCCCAATTTTCTCTTGTTTCCTCTTGCTAGTAGGACTCTCGGCCAAGAGCAAAAGGAAATCCATTTCTTCCTCTCTTTGTGGGCCAGGTCCATGGAGCTTTTTTTCTTTTTTGAAGTCTCCCACTTATGGAGCAAGTCCCTCCTTTTTTGTAGTTTTCTGCTCCAATCCCTGAAGTTGAGTCTAGATATCAAATATGAGTAGATGTTAACAATTAACACAATGTTTGACAGGAACAAAAGGGCAATTAATAATAAAATTGCTAACAATTAATACCCTATCAATTCCCCCCATACCTGAATCATACTTGCCCTCAAGCATGGGGACAACTAAACTCAACCATGGTCAGCTCTCACGTCATCTATTGCCAAGCTGTGCTTATACCAAAATCAAGATTTAGTGGCTAAGTGTCGAGACATTTCTCTCCCGGTTAGCTCCTAAGATCACAGACTCGTCCAATTCATGGCTAACTCGCCTAGGAAATCAAAATATTAAACTAGCAACAGTCGGCAATTAAGTCAACTGGCAACCAAAATCTCAACATTGAAAACCAAGGATCGGCGGGCCAACATGATCATAGACTTACATATTTTCCTCATCTGTTCTTTTTTCCTTTTTCCCTCTTTTTTTTTCTTTTCTCTTTCTTTTTTTTCGAACGAATAAATGCTTAGTCCCAAGCCATTCAAGTCTTTTGACGTGAACTCTGACATTTTTAAATGAAAGAGCCCAGTTACTCAACTTTCCACAGCTCCGGGACTACTTACTCATAGATATCGCCACTTTTATATGCGAGAATCAACACTTGTGGTGAAGACTCCTGGTTACTGGGTGACGACACTAGCGGAATATAGTCATATGTTATTCACACTAAAATACCAAAATACCATACAATATCATGGCCCATGTCATCTCCTAAACATGGAGAACTAAGGTCAACAGGGGGCCAATCCACACAACAATGCCAGTAAAATATTTACATTGCCTAAACAAGTTAGCCACAAATTGCACCAAGTCATTAACCTCAAAATATTCACCAGGACAACATGCTCTTACTCGCCACCGAAACTAAATTCATAGAGTAAACTACAACCAGCAATAGAAGAGTGAGTTGTCAAAATATTCATCAAGACAGCAGCAAGCCAGGCAGAAAATTAAAAAAAGGCAGAAAATTGAAGAAATTCACTAGTCAAATCCAAATCCCCCCCACACCTAGGTCACACAGGAAAAAAACACGTAAACTAAAAACAAAGGAAAAACACCCAAAAACCGGAAACTGGAAATACTAGCATCCAAACTGACTCCCCTACACCTAAGGCACACATTGCCCTCAATGTGAAAATGTAACAGCAAAAGGCAGGATAAGGGCAACGGAACTTCCCTGAAGTCGTCAAAACAGGGGTGGGTCGGGCGGGAACTGAGGAGCGAGACCCGCATGGTGGACAAATACTGCCAAATTCTGCGCCATGTTATGCAAGTTGATGCCAATGTGAGTCACTCGAGTCTCCAATCTCTCAATCGTGTTCCGGAGTTGGAGCCAGTCGTCAGCCCCTGGGGTGGGAGGAGGCGGAGCGGAAGTAGAGGGGCCGGGATCACCGCCATCAGTGGAGGCGCGGGCAAAAGATGACCGAGGGGGGGCCGACGACTGGCTCCAACCTCCCATCCGTCGTTGCCCTCCCGAACCAAGCCTATTTTCTCTAAATAAAGAATGTCCAAGGGCTCCATTTGACAGGCAACATGTAAATCATGGTTAGAAAGATCAAGCACATGCAAATTAACAGCCAAATGAGTAGTGTATGACCCAAGAATCAAGGGGCGCTTCTTCTTAGGCAAAATAGATTTGAACTGAGAAGTGAGCCAGCACCCAAGATTAACCTTAATGTTATTATGCATGCACCAAATAAAGAAAAATTTTGACTTAGACAAAATGCCCGAGCTATCTCGCCTACCCGAGAAACTATAGGCCAAGAAACGGTGGATATAGCGAGACGCCGGGTCTTTCAGATAAGAACCCTTAGATAGACGAGGGTCATAATTATTACGATCCATGGACATCTCCTCCCAAATATGCCGATAGTGGGAGAAAAAGGGCTGTACATAGTCATAAGCACTCTCGGTATACTCACGTGACTCGACATAAGCCTGATCAATAAAACCAAGTGCTAGATTGAAATCAGTAATGGAATGGTGGAACTCTTGGCCCATTAATCTAAAACGGATGACATTAGGAGTAGAAACTGTGTAACCCGTGGGGAGGTCGAACTCGAATATGGCATAGAACTCCCTAACCAACTCGACAAAAGCTGGACGGTCAACAATATAAGTGTAGGGACGCCACCCAATGGCCCGGATCAAGCGATCAAAGTCAACTCTAATATTCAAAAGGTCCAAGGTGGCGGCGTTCCGATAACGGTAGGGAGTGATCCTCCGTTCACAACAAGTAGCATATCGCTGCTTGTCGGCGGCCCGAGTAAAGTTCAAATTACCCCCAAAATGTGCAGGGTCAGAAATATGAACGCCTCTTTGCCTCTCCAGGCGAGCCCTCATCCTCTGGGTCGTACAAGGGGTCAAAGGCGGGAATTGAGTGCTGAGGTGGAGGGGGCTGTGAGGTTCTAGGAGTCCTAGACCTAGAGGAGGATCTGGGTCGCACCATGGGTACTAAGAGGTCACTTAATCAACCAGAAATAGAATGCGCAAAAGATATGAACTGAAAGACCTCTAGAGAAACCAACCAGCACTATAGCAGAAATTAGCAATACCAGAAATCAAGTCCAAAGAGTACAACAGTTATAAGTAGTGCTAGTGTTTAAACCGATCACCAAATTTCAGCAATTAGAAACACTACCACCCAAAATATCAACAACTGCCGTCAATTGGACAGTTAATTGCACACTCACCCAACCAAAAGTTCTAACAACAGCAAATCAGAATTTGAGCAACAACTTAATCACAAGAACTTGAACTTTCAAACAAGCAAGCATCTCTAAATATAAGCAACAACTATAGTCAAAAGACGAAAAATCAATTCAGCCAAACAATTCAACTAAATGTACCTATCCTCACATCAACAAATCAATTGGCACCGTAGCCACACACAATACCAGAACACAGCCCCAAACAGAACAACAGATTATTGCAATTTATCACAAATCTATCCAAAAGCGTAATAAACTCCTGTACAATCAGCAAACACCCAAATTAACTCAGAAAGTGCCCAAATCACCTCCTGCTATATCCATCAAGAAACCTACGAAAAGGCACAAAACCCAGCACTTGAAGGTTCAGGGAAAATGTTAAAACAAGGGTAGAAAGTTAATACCAAATTGACAGGTGACGATGCGTGGCAAGGAGATGGCGGACAGCAGCAGCGGCTGCCAGCATGCGAAGGAGAGCTGGTGGTGGTCCGTAAGGTGGAGTTTGGAGCTTGGAGGCGGCGGCGATGGCGGAGCGGCGTGCTTCGTGGAGAAATCCCAGGAAGCAGCTGTGGGCTACGCTTGGGCGAGCCAGTGACGCGCGCGGCTGGCAGTGAAGCTGAGGCTGCTGCTGGTAGCGCGCGAGGGGGAGGGAGAAGTGGCGTCTCTGTTGTCGCGCGACGGAGTGGACTACTGGTGGCGCGCGAGCTTTGGAAGAGAGTGGTGGCTTGCGGCTGTAGTGGAGATTGCGACAAGGAGAGAGAGAGACAGCGTCCGCCTTGGGTGAGCGGCGGGCAGCGACGGCGAGGCGGAGCTAGTTGTGGGTAGTGAGATCGAGAGAGGGAGATGGATGGAGAGTGGTAGCGGTGTCGGTATTACCGAGGCGAGTGTGGCCGCGACTGTGGAGGAGTTGGGAGCTGCTGGTGGTGAGCGCGGACCACACGGTAGGAAGAGAAGTGCGGCAGTGTTTGGCTGTCGGCTGCGTGCGCGGGCAACTGGTGATGGCAGTCGTGCAGCTGTGGGCTCGCGAGGTGGGGCGGACAGCAGTGAGGGGGAGAGAGAGAGAGAATGCGGCGCGAGGTGGGTAGCGGCGGAGAGAGACGAGCGGCACTGCTTGGCCGCGAGGGTGCGCGAGCGAGTAATGGCGGCGATATGGACTGAGAGAGAGGCGCGGCGGTGAGCGATGGAGTAGTGTCGGTCGAAGAAGAAAAGAAAAGGGAAGCAGGGCAGCGGGGAAGAGAGGAAGAAAAGGGAAAGAAAGAAAGAAAGGGAAGAAAGAAAAGAAGAATAAAGAAAGAAAGAAAAATAAAGGAAAAAAGAAAAAAGGATTTTTTTTTCTTTTTCTTTTCCTGATTGCAAACCCAAACTTCAAAATTCAAATTGTGAGAACCAAAACTGAAGGTGTAAAACAGGAAATGTTTTTATTGTGAATTTTTTATTTTTATTTATTTATTTTTAATCAAGACTGAAGGTATAAAAGAAAAGAAAATAATTTGTAATTTTTCTAATTTATTTATTTATTATTTTTTTTTTTTGGTATTTTCTTTGTTTTTGAGTTATCAAGCACAGTGTGGGCACGCCAAAATTATAAAACATCCACTGACCTCAGGAGTCACTAGCACGGCGTGGGCACGCCAAGATTGCACTTCCTGCCAACGTCGCGAGATGTTGAGATTTGACCAACATGGCGCGGGCATGCCAAGATTATAAAACGTCCACTGGTCTCAGGAGTCACTCACGTAGCGTGGGCACGCCAAGATTGCATTTCCTGGTCACAGTGGAGGAAAATATTAGGGCCAACTACCACCCAATTAAGAAACGACAAAATGAAAAAAATGAACAACGAAAATCAATAAAATCAATATTTGGGTTGCCTCCCAAAAGAGCGTCTTTATTTAATGTTTTTGGCTAAACATAACCCAAAATTTGCTTAAACTAAGCAAATCGGGTCTTCCAAGTGCATCATCTCCACCCGTTCAACTGGAACCCCTTCATAATACGGCTTAAGACGATAATCATTCACCACAAATTTCTTCTCCTTCCTTAAACTCTGGATCTCCACTGCACCATAATAAAAGATATTAGTTACAACGAAGGGACCGATCTAACGAGAACATAACTTACCTGGAAATAACTTCAATTTTGAGTGGTACAGTAAAATTTTTTACCCACATTCGAACGTCTTCCTAGAGATCTGCTGATCATGAAATATCTTATTCTTCTCCTTATAAATCACAGCACTCTCGTAGACTTCATTTCGAATCTCCTCCAATTCTTGTAACTGTAATTTCCTTTGAATTCCGCCCTCTTCGATGTCCATATTGCATTGCTTGACTGCCCAGAACGCTTTATGTTCGAACTCAACTGGGAGGTGACATGGCTTCCCAAATACCAATCGGTAAGGGAACATGCTAATGGGTGTCTTGTATGCCGTCCTATATGCTCATAATGCATCTTCAAGTCTCACACTCCAATCCTTCCTATCAGGGCGGACCATCTTCTCTAAAATCGACTTGATCTTTAGGTTCGATGCTTCCGCCTGACCATTTGTTTGAGGGTGGTAGGATGTGGAGACTTTATGTAAGACGCCGTACCTCCTAAAAAGTGGTGCGATCGTCTTGTTACAGAAATGAATACCCCGATCGCTTACAATTACTCGCGGCATCCCAAAGCGGACAAAAAGGTTAAATTTGATGAATTCTGCAACCACTTTGGAGTCATTAGTACAGGTGGCCTTTGCTTCCACCCATTTTGAGACATAATCCACAGCAAGCAATATATACAAAAAACCAAAAGATGAAGGAAAAGGACCCATAAAGTCAATACCCCAAACGTCAAAAATTTCAACAAAAATCATGGGAGTTTGAGTCATTTGATCCCTACGAGAAATGTTACATACTCGTTGACACCTATCACAGGACTTACAAAATGAGTAGGCGTCCTTGAAGAAAGTCGGCCAATAGAACCTGCTCTCCAGCACCTTACGAGTTGTTCTTTTTGATCCAAAATGACCTCCACACGCAAAAGAGTGACAATAGGTTAGTATAGATTGGAATTCATCCTCACCTACACATCTTCTGATGATTTGGTCGGCACCACGCTTCCAGAGGTAAGGATCATCCCAAATGTAAGATTTCGCATCACTCCTTAACTTGTCCCTCTTTGCCTTAAGCCATCCTGCAGAAAACTTGTCAGTGACTAGAAAATTAACAATATTCGTATACCAAGGCAAAGATAAATTAACAGCAAATAAATGCTTATCGGGAAAAGTTTCTCTCAACGAGAGGTCGTCCTCAGTGACTTGTACTCGATTCAAGTGATCTGCTACCAGGTTCTCCGCCCCTTTTTTTTATCTCTGATCTTCAGGTCGAACTCTTGTAGCAGTAATATCTACCATATCAGTCGCGATTTTGCCTCTTTTTTGGTCAACAGATACCGTAAAGCTGCATGATCAGAGAAAATAATAACTTTAGCACCAAGTAAATAGGACCGAAATTTTTCTAAAGCAAAAATAACAGCTAAAAGCTCTTTTTCGGTGGTCGAATAGTTCAACTGAGCTCCGTTCAAGGCTCGAGATGCTTAGTAGATAGCATGGACTGCCTTTCCCACTCTTTGATCCAGCACCGCGCCCACTGCATAGTTGCTGGCATCGCATATGATTTCGAACGATAGGTTCCAGTTAGGAGGTTGAATAATAGGTGAGAAGGTCAATAACTCCTTCAACCTATCAAACGCCCCTTATATGCTTTGTCGAACTCGAAAGGCACCTCTTTCTGCAAAAGTTAGAACAATGGGGTTCCAATCTTTGAGAAGTTTTTGATGAACCTTCTATAGAAACCTACATGACCCAAGAAAGAACGCACTTCCTAGACGACACCACATGACCCAAAGCTATCCCGTACTCGACCATAAAGTGGCATTTTCCTCAATTAAGCACGAGATTAGCTTCTATACACCTTATCAAAATTAATTTGAGGTTATCTAGACAGTTATCAAAACTTTTCCCATACACGCTGAAATCATCCATAAAAACCTCAATAATCTTTTCAATATACTCTGAAAAGATACTTACCATGCATCGTTGGAAGGTAGCAGGTGCATTGCATAGCCCAAATGGCATCATTCGATATGCAAATGTTCCAAACGGGCATGTGAAGGTGGACTTCTCCTGGTCCTCGGGTGCGATAGCAATCTGGAAATAACCTGAAAATCCATCCAAAAAGCAATAGTAAGCTCGACCTGCTAATCGCTCTACCATTTGATCAATGAAAAGAAGAGAAAAATGATCCTTTTTCGTGACGGCGTTTAGCTTCCTATAATCTATACACTGCCGCCATGCGGTGGGCTTTCGAACTGGTACGAGCTCACTCTCTTGGTTTGATTCCACCGTTACCCCTGCCTTCTTCGGGATCACCTGTACTGGACTCACCAAAGGGCTGTCTGATATGGCAAATATAATTCCGACGTCGAGCAGCTTCAGGATCTCCTTCTTTACTACCTCCATCATGAGAGGATTTAGTCTCCTCTGAGCTTGCCGCACAAGCTTAGCACCCTCCTCGAGTCGAATTTGGTGCATACATACGGCGGGGCTAATTCCCTTGATATCGGCGATAGTCCATCCTATCGCCTACTTATGTTCCCACAGCACTCGAAATAGTTTGTCTTTTTGAACTTCTGATAAGCTCGCGGAGATGATCACCGGGAGTGTCTCCCCCTGACCCAAGTATGCATACTTGAGGTGTTTCGGCAGGGATTTCAACTCTAAGACAGGTGCCTGCACCACAGATGGAAGTAGCCTTTGGTGAGGTTCAGGTATGAAAATGGGTGCGAGATCATATCTTGTTCTTGTGGGCGGTAACGTTTACAATGATCCAACCACACATTTGATCTCTTCACTCAACTCCACCCCAGAGGTCGTCTCTGATTCGAAGTGCCTGGTCAAGGCGACTTCCAACTCATCCCTGACTTCAATTCAAAAACTTCTTGTACAGCAGGGTTAATAACATTTATAGACAAAACAGAGCCAGCATGTGATTCTGAAAGATATTTCATGGTTTCAAAAATGTTAAAATGAACAATCTCACCACCAAATTCCATAGACATGGTACCTTTATTAACATCAATTTTGGTTCGAGCTGTGCTCAAGAAGGGTCTACCTAACAGTAAAGGTGATGGGTCGTGAGAGTGTTCATCATCTATATCAAGTACATAAAAATCAGCGGGGAAGACCAATTCATTAATTTTTCCTAAAACATTCTCGACCAATCTATCAGGATATGCATTTGTTCGGTCAGCCAATTGGATTATTATTCCCATGTCTTTCAACGGATCTAAGTTCAAAGAAGCATATATGGAGTTTGGCATGACATTAATTGATACTCCCAAATCCAACATGGCCCTACCAATCACTATATTACCTATCCTACAGGGGATAGTGAACATACCTGGATCCCCACATTTCGGTGGAAGTTTCCTTTGCAAGATTGCTGACACATTCTCCTCCACTATAACCCGTTCATCTCCTTTCAACCGCCTTCGGTTAACACACAAGTCCCTCAAAAATTTTGCGTATCTAGGTACTTGTTTAATCACATCTAGTAGGGGAATGTTAATCTCCACCTTGCGAAAGATTTTCAGGACCTCTTTCTCATTGTTCTGCTTCTTTGATTTCTCCAATCTGCTTGGAAAGGGAGACGGGTTAGTCTTAGCTGGAATGAGTGGGTCCGGAAGTATCTTTGAATTTTTACTGTCTTTGCTCTCTTCTTCCAGCTCTTTCTTAATTCGTTTCTCGTCCTTGTCTTTAGGAATCACAGGTTTGGGTCCTTGGACTTCTTTGCCACTTCTCAAGGTCATTGCACTCACATTCTTCGGATTCAACTCAGGTTGAGATGGCAGCTTCCCTTGAATTTGGGATTCCAACCGGTTGATCGTGATTGCCAATTAATTTGCAATGATTGCACTTGTCCCAATTGATTCCTCATGTTTTGCAAGTCTAAATCCGTCTTCTGTTGATTCGCAAGTAATTGCTTCATCATCTCTTCCATGGACGGACTCGAGTTCGAAGGGGGTGGTGGTGGGCGAGGTTGGTACTACTGCTGGTACCCTTGCTGCCTATTTGGTAAGAAATTGGACTGTCTGTTCCCTCTATAGCTGAGGTTGGGTTGATCTCTCCAACCAGGATTGTAGGTGCTTGAATAAGGGTCGTACTGCTTTCTTAGTGCGGGCGCGTGGCCAGCCATGTTCGCCTGTTCTGCAGTTTCTTCCTGAACCAGTGGACACATCTCCCTAGAATGACCCACGGCAGTGCATACCCCACATACTTTGGCTTGTGAGGCACTTCCTACGGCTAGTTGTCGCACGAAAGACGTCAATTCGGAGAGCTGCTGTTGTATAGAGGATGTTTCTACCTCATTCACCTTATGCATCGGGATGTCCTCCCTTGAACCAAACTACTGTGAGTTCTCAACCATCCCTTCAATCAACTCCGATGCTGCCCGAGGAGTCTTGTTTACCAACGCTCCTCCACTTGCAGTATCAATTATGCTTTTGTCCCTGAAGAGTAGCCCCTCGTAGAAATATTAAATGAGTAGTTGCTCATTTATTTGATGCTGAGGGCATTTGATGCACAGCTTCTTAAACATCTCCTAGTACTCATATAGAGACTCGCCTAGGTGTTGTTTGATGTCGCATATCTCCTTCCTTAGGCTTGCAGCTCGAGACGCCGGAAAGTACTTGTCCAGGAATTTTTTCTTCAACTGGTCCCACATGGTGATAGGTAGTACAACCAATCTTTCGCGGAGTCCTTCAAAGAGAAGGGGAAAACCCTCATCTTTATTTGCTCTTCTGTAATTCTTGGAGGCTTCATACTGTTGCAAACGATATCGAACTCCTGTAAGTGCTTGTAAGGCTCCTCACCTGGTAGACCATGAAAAGACAGCAAGAGATGAATTAGACCAGATTTTAGTTCAAAGGGAGTGTTATCATTCAAATTTGAGAAAGTAATGCATAAAGGTGATTGATTTAAATTAGGAGCAGCCAACTCCCTTAATGTTCGTGCATTTGCCATGGTGACTTCCTCTTGGTCCGAATCACTCGAATGGCCACCCTGCAAATTTATCGACTCCACTTCTGGATCCAGTCCTTGAGGTGCAACACTGGATTGCTCCTCTCTGAGCTGTCTAGTTTTTTTCCTAGTTCGGTGTGCGGTCTTCTCTACTTCAGGGTCGAAAATCAATTCGCCTGTACGAAAAGAACGAGGCATAAACTAGAAAAAAAAATACCAGAAAATTAAAACAAAAAAAAACTTAAAAAGAAACAAATAATTAACGCCAGTCCCCGGCAACGGCGCCAAAAATTGACAGGTGTCGAGCTTGTGCAATCATAAACATAGAACCTAACTACCACTAAAAGCGGTCAATAATTGATGTTAGATACTAGAGCAGGGACTCTAAGTGTGCAATGTGTTACTTGATTCACCCTGTTCTCGAAAAGTTTGCTTAATCCGATATACCAGAATGAATTAGTTGACAACAATTACTAAATAGTAGACAGTGACAAGCAAGGTCGTCTCCTCAGGGATTAGGGATGTTTGTTTCTTTGAAATTCCAATTGGTAAAGGGCGATTTTATCGGAGTGGAACTAAAAACAATTAACCAATTCAATTAAAAATAAATAAATAATTAACAAGCACGAATATAGCAGAAATTAAATCAAGAATAGATAAATTCTAGCCAAAAATACAACTACTCAGGCACAGTCCACTCACCCGATCATTGATGCAAGGAAGGTTCGCTTAACTTATTAATAGGCCAGTTATAGTTGCCGACGAACTCTAACGACCAATTTTTCCTTAATTTATTGATAACCAAGGTACGACCATTGATTACCCCTAACCAGAAAATACTCCTAGGTACGACCATAGGAATTAATTTTCCAATTGCATTAAGAACTAGAAAAACCTAACCCCAATCAATAACACGCTACGAGGGTTATTTAAATTAGATTGCACGTTCCCCTAGTGTGCAAACACGCCAGTTACCACTAATATTAATCAATCAAACAATTACGGATTTAATTGACTAATTTGGCAGGAGATTAATGAGTCACATTGAACATCGGGCCCTTGACATCAAATTAACAAAATAATCCCATGAAAATTCAAATAGACAACGTGCAAATATTAACAAATTAAGGAACGCGTGAAAACTAATTAGATCTCACAGATATTCGGGATTGCGCCGTCGAGTTGATCCTTGACTAGATGAAAGGCTTAGTGATGCGAGAGACGGAAGCTACTTCGGATCTAGAGGAACACGATGAAGATTTGATGGAGTTGAACCCAAACTTGGACCACTCAAGAACAGATTTAACGGTAGAGGACGCCACAATCAAGTATGTGTGTTTGATTGATAAGTCAAGAACAGCCTAGGATCAACTCTAGGATGTTCAACTTAGCTTTCACAAGCTAAGGGAATTTGCCACAAGGAATGGACGAAATTCTAGAAATTTTATTCAATACTCTCCAAAAAACTCAATGTAACATGCGACTTTAGGCTATTTATGGCCGTGACTAACCCCTAATAAACTGGAAAAATAACAAGGAAAGTTCGGCCAGGCCCTTGGGCCTTCACTTGACCGAAAGCTAGCCCAACTAACTATAGATCATAGCAAGACCCCCGTACGGCTCAGCGAGGGTACTTAACTGCGGCTCAGCCCGCCGTTTGGAGTTTGAACACTTGCATCTTCAATTGTAAGCAGCATTTTAGTAGTCGTGCAAGGATATTCCAACTCAATTCCTTCAATGCTCGGTTTCTCTTGGGTTTGGATGGCACGTACCAAGGCTTGGAGGGACTCCTTGAATCTCTTAGCTAGTGCTCGTGTCACTGGGCCTTGGGGCACCTTCACAGGGTTTACTTGTACACTTTGGGCCTCGTGCTCAACCGCATCACTTAGCCTTACCGCGTAATTAAATCTCCACGCAAATTAATTGATTGCAAAGGCATCAAGTTTTCACTAGAAAGTGAGAAATAAAAGATGTTTTTCCCATTGGAGAATATTGTCGAACAGTGGGCGTGCGCCAGACAAGGACAGAAAGAAAACTAAAAACTATGCTAAAAAGAACTGAGCTCCCAAGCCTCTGTACGCTTGTCCCTTAAAAGCCAAAAATGACTAATGCTCCACTCGTCCGTGGTCCCCCACCGAATTGAGAAAGCTAAGTACAAAAGATGGGCCCTGCCCACTTTGAGAGCAAAAGTCTAAAAGTGAGGCTCCCCCAATTTTCTCTTGTTTCCTCTTGCTAGTAGGACTCTCGGCCAAGAGCAAAAGGAAATCCGTTTCTTCCTCTCCTTGTCGGCCAGGTCCATGGAGCTTTTTTTCTTTTTTGAAGTCTCCCACTTATGGAGCAAGTCTCTCCTTTTTTATAGTTTTCTGCTCCAATCCTTTAAGTTGAGTCCAGATACCAAATATGAGTAGATGTTAACAATTAACACAATGTTTGACAGGAACAAAGGGGCAATTAATAATAAAATTGCTAACAATTAATAACCTATCACCTTTTCCTTTTGCTTGGAGCTGCCGAGAGAGTTGATGTGTTCCACTCTGAATATCTGTAACATCATAATAAACTTGGCATCACTAAAATAAGTTACCGGGTAGCTGCATGTTAGTACAGGAGTTTTAACATGAATTACGTGCATCATTAAAAAAAAAGATAAAATTGTACAAAATACAGATGTAGTAATAATTCACAAAAAAGTATTAACAATTCACAAAGCTAGGAATTTTTATGATGGAATTCTGACGTTGAAAACTTTTCCACATCCCCAGGAAACGTGAAAAGAAATTCAGGGAGAAGAACAAACTCTAATATTTCTATAAAGCAGTTTGCATAATTCCAAAAAGGTTGTTGAATTAATTCGAAGGATGACTATTTTCCTTCACAAGCTGAGTGAGCAAATCCACAAGCTCATCAAACACTTGATTTTCCTTAAATTTTATTTTCTCACTCACTTCCTTCATCTTCGCCCTCAGATTTTCTCCCATTTTCTCCACCACTACATTTTTTATTACTTCCACTATCACTTTTCTATCAAATTTCCCACTATGATTTCTCACAACCTCCACTCCTGCACCAATATCCACCATCAACCTAGCATCGAATGGCTGGTCAAAATGCATAGGATATTTATAATTGGAACACCAAGCTCTATGCTTTCCAAAATTGAATTCCAACCAGAATGAGTAATAAAACCTCCAATGCTTAGATGCCCCAATATTTTTGCCTGTGGTGCCCATTCTTCCACAATTCTTTCCCCATCTCGCGTTCTCTCCAAGAACCCCTCAGGAAGACCCTCCTCAGGCCTAATTCTCTGGCCGTGAGGAAACCTTACAGCCCATATGAAATTGACATTGCTAAGCTCCAATGCAAATGCCATCTCATCCAACTCTTCTTTAGTCAAGAAATACTCACTCCCGAATGCGATGAAAACAGTCGAATGCTTGGTTTTTGTCCCAAGCCATTGGATTAGCTTGGTGTTCTTGTCCTGCTGATCATCATCAACAGGTTCTGGAAACAACGTACCTACAGGCATAATCTTCAGCTTCAAAATATCAGAGAGATAATCCATATATTTTCCATCAATTTCTCGAGCCTTTTGCGAGCATGATGCTGTCACAGAACCTGTTTGGCCTTTCAGTTGCGGGATCATTTTCGTCAACATTAGCTCTTGCATCTTCAGCAGCAATTTGAGCCTTGTGTCGCTCAAAATCTGAAAGATAGATGGCTGGAAAAGGGAATTCAAGACCTGGCTTCGCAAACGAATGGCAGAAGTATGCAATATTTGTCACACTTGAAA